CTGTGCTTCCATGTTGCTTTTTTTCTTTCTTTCTCTAGAGACATTAAGCTATTGTAATGTAGATTAATATCTCTGGTGTCTTAGAGGTAAGGAAATGTGTTGCCAGTTGCCAATGCGAAGGTACGTGGTTCAAATCCTCCAGATGGGCAATTAGCAATTACCTATCTCTGAAAATCCACTGGTCAATATAATGACAAAAAGTAGTGGAATGACAAAACACAGACCAAGGTGGGAAGAAACCCACTTCTACTAAGGCCCACAGCAGGCTCCAGGAGGGAGATTTGTCAACACAGTACTGGATCCATCTCACAAAACTCTGTAGGAGGCAGATTCCAATTAAACTAAGCAACTGGGGAGGGGTGGAGGGAAGTAATCATTAACCTCAAAAATCAACAACAAAAGACATTTGAAGTCCCAGTACCCCATCCCACATGGGTAACCATTTACACAGAAGCAAACTACTCGGCTGAGATTTCTGGAACTGCCTCTTTGAACCCCCTGGCTCAGATTGTTGTGGGGTGAGTATCCATGACAGCAGAGGAGAGCAGCTAAGGAGAGCAGCTATGACTGTGATCACATGGCCTCAACATTATTCACTCTGGCTACACTCATGGAAAGATCATAGATCCCTCTATTATACATTCTGCTAACTTGGGAATGACTAAGCAAGAAGACCTAGCTCACATGAAACAAAATTGCCAGTCACTGTACAAGTCCAAAGATTCAAAAGGATTAATAGTCAGCTGGAAAAAAATATTTAGAACCTTGGGGACAAATGCAGGGGGGAAAAAAAAAGTATTGAGCTAAAAAATGTGAGATGGGCTGGCAGATAGCATTGTTTGGGCTTTTAAAAAATATTTGAAGGGGAGCTCTGGTGGCCTAGTGGCAAGGAGCTGCAACTACAATCCCAGAGGCGGCCGGTTCGAATCCACCAGATGCTCTGCCGGGAAAGGAGGGACGATTTCCTCCTGTACCACTCAGATTTGACAGCACACTCACACAAAAATAATAAAAAAATAATTTGAGTGAAAGTTTTATGTTAGAAGCCATTCAATTATCGAAACTATGCTCAGATTTCGAGAAAACACATTTCTAAATTACCAACCAGGTAACAGCCAGTTCTAACTATACAGCTGGCCTGTCCCTCCTCCTTCTCTGGTCATAAAGGAATTTACATCTGAGGACATCCATGGCTCCCTCAAACTGTGTTCATTTCTCCACCTGAAGGCCCAGAAGCTGAAATAAGTACTGTCAAAATGTGGGATTCTAGGTACTGACTCAACTAGGCTGTTTCCCTCTTACTGCTAACTATCACCACAGCCATCCCCATCCAACACGGCACCAGAAGGCACAGAATCAAGGCCCGACTCTCAGCCTTGGCCAGAGCAACTGCAGAACAGAGACCCCAGACAGGCTTGTTTTCAATCAAACTTTTAATGAAAAGATCATAAAATAACAGTTTCTCATCACTGTACATTAAGACTGCACACTTCTGAGGGAGACAAGTCGACAGAGAATTGCTTTTCTGATGTACAGGAGCTGCAGGACAGCCTTGACCTGAATTGATTCCAATGCTCCGGGGACACAAGTCGACATGAGACAGCAGCCGGAGTACAGGAGGCCGGGTCTGGACCCCATCCCGGAAGGGGATGGGGGACAAGAACCTTCACCTACCTCCAGCTAGACAGTAACTAGACTGTCATCCTTTCTCCCTCGAGGTATATTTGTGAATGGGTCTGTGCCCAATTTGGGGTCCCCAGCAGGGGAGGGTAGAGCAGTGATGAGCAGGTACAGAGGCTCCCCTCAGCACCTGGCCCCACAGGGGCCCCGCCATGTGGACGGGAAGGGGCCTGGGAGCGTCCCTGTCCCAAATGAGGTCTGTGAATGCAGCATCTGAGGTCAATAAATTACAGAATAAATAGCAGGTGAGGTAGGGGGTTCCTAGGCAAGAGTCAAGGGGGTGACGAAACCTGGGAGTACTGGGCAGCCTCAAGTCTCACAACTCATACCAACCAACCTCCACTCTGGAATGTCAGACCGAGGCTCTCCACCTTGCAGTCCCCATCACATTCTGGGTCCCTGGAGCATCCACTGGGCTCCTTCCTTTTTCACTGAACCCTGGTTCTGCTCTCCCAGGTGCCCAGGCCTCACCACAACTCCAGGCAGTCACAGCAGAGCAGAGCAGGAGGCTTGCAAGCCCAGATAACCCTCCTGTTGGTGGCCTGAGATCCAGTGGCCAGAACCAAGCAGCCCAGCCACGGGTGGATGACAAAAGCAAACTTTTGCTTCAGGAGGTGATGGAACCAGGCCAGTAACGGGCTGTAGGGTATGGCTATGGTACAGTCACCAAGAGCCCGGGTTGGGGGCCCATCCTGACCTGGTGTCTTTTTCTTGCAATCCTGGAGGAGCCCGTGAATGTAGGGCTCAGTCTGGTGAGAAGTGGCAGAGCCCAGGCTGCCTTGTGGGCCCCACCCCCCAAGTCTGAGAAATAAATACATTCAACATATTGATACAAAAACAACACTGTTAAGTGTTTGCACCGTCTGGAAACTAGGGGCCTGGCCCAGACAGCCCTTTGGGTCCCCAACACAATGACTGGCTAGAGTTGGCTAAGCTTTTTGGCTTGAAGGGGAAACCCTGATCTGAGCCCCCCCCCACAAGCTGGCAGGGGCCCAAGCCCAGATTTGGGTCCTGTGGTCACAGCCAGGCCCCCAGGAGGCCAAGCTCTTTGGTGCCATCTGGGCTTGGAGTGGCCCTGGCCAGGAGGTAGGGAACACTTGTACCCACCCCACAGGTCTCTAGGGCCACTTCTCCCCTCCAGAGTTGTCCTGGGGCTTCCAGCGAAGGTGAGGCTGGGCCTGGTATAACAGCTGCTGAGGTCTGAAACTGTTAAGAGTTTATGTAAACAATGAGATAATATTAGTATATTTTCTGAGCCAACTGAGGTTTCATTATCATTCAAAATGTGCTTTGGTTTAAAAAATAGGTTTTGTGTGTATGTGAATTTGGGTATGAAGTTTTTCTTTTTCTCTTTTAAATTCTCTTTCTTACAATGGCATCTGCTACTTTTTCTGTTTCCTGTTCCTCTGAAACATTCAGGAATTAAGTGACTGGAGCAGAAAAAGCTAAGCCCCCCCCTCCCTGCGCATGGGCACTTGGAGGCACATTCCTACGGGGACACCTGTCCCACCATCACTGGAAAAACGACCAAATCAAGTGGTGTGTTTGTCCCACCCCACCCCCACAACCCCCTGAAACCTTAAATAGGAAACTAGTGTTCTGCTTTCTCATTAAAATACAGAAAAAAGGCTCGGTACAATACTAAGGTGGGTACAATACTATGTCATACAGACGTCGTTAGTGTGAAGGGGGCTCGGCTCCCCATCCCTGAAATTCTGCAAATGAGTCGCCTGCTCTCTCGCCAGTCGCCTCAGTGTGCGGCCTGGCCGCCAGGCGCGCACCATCCGCTTTGCGTACAGACTTTGTGTCGTGGCTTAAGTGCTGATGGGCGGGGCAGGAATGATGCTGACCCTGATCCCGTCCATGCTGGAACCTGGTCCCAGGGTCCCACCCAGAGGGGCTGGAGGGGGCTTTCAGCCATGGAGCTGTGTGCCCTGCCTGGCCCCGTGCACTGACATCCCTGAACTTGGGGTTCCATGCAGCTGGAGGATATCTTGAGGGGTGATTCCAGAGGTTTTTTTGGTCTAAACTTAAAATAGAGGAGGGGGGGAAATGGCGAGCAGTTGGGAAAGGATGACCCCTGAGCGTGGGCAGGACAGAGGCAAGAAGTTCCCAAGAAAGGGCTGTAGGGAGATATGAAGGGCTAGGCGCCCCCAGAGTCAAGCAGCAGGGGGCCTGTGGGTCCCTCCTCTCACTTTGGTAGCAGTCCCGTGCTCAACGTCTTGGGCGCCTGTGTGCTGGAGCCCACCCTACATCCACCGAGTGTGTACCCTTGCAGTCAGCAACACTTGGAGGTGCATGCACAAGCATGCTGACCAGAGCATACACCCCTGCCAGAAGCCCCCCAAGCCCACCCCTCAGCCTTAGTGGGCTCCTCGCAGGCCAGCTCTGTGCCTCTGTGTCAAGTCACCAACATACTGTTTCTAGCGGATTCAAGAGGTAGCAAAAAAAGGTCTCTCCACCTTGTCCAGGGAGGGAGGAAAAGTGAAGTGTCTGTTGACACTCGCCACACACCCCACATACAACCCCCCCAGGAGAAAATAAAAACCAGAGTACCAGCCTACCCACGCCCACCCCCCAGTAACCCCCGATCTTCCAGTTCCAACATTCACATAAACTGGTTTTTCTCTTAATAAAAAGAAAACAAGTACCTCTAAACAAAGAATATTCCTTGGAAACTATAGACGAGCACTCCAGCTCCCAAAACAACTGAGGCAGGGCCCAGGGTGGGGGGTCTACCCCCCAGAAGCCTCTGGGGGTGCCTAAAAAGGGTTGGAGGGCAGTTTGCAGAGGGGTTGGACGCAGAGAGGGGCAGCTGCCCCCTTACATTCCGGCTGCAGACCCAGGCTCAGCCTTGGGGGGGCAAGGAGGCAGGCAGGGACCCTGGAGGAAAAAAACCCTATTGTTTTGGTTTAAGAAACAAAAGTAAAAGAGGGGGAGGGGGAGGAATAACTCAGTAGAAATAACAGCAACCTAGCCCCAGGGGGCTCTTTAGTTTGGAGAGGTAGGCGGGGTCACCCTGACTATCCCAGGCCGGTAGGCAGTGGGGGCCCTGGCTCCAGGAAGGGAGGGTCCCTGCCTTCAGCACCAAGAGGAACCTGCCACCATCCAGCCAGGTGGTGGCGGGGAGGTAGACTGGCTTGCTGGGTGAGTGCGCCCCCCCTCCTTGCTTCCCTTGGTAGAGACTGTCATTAAAGCTCTGGGGGGGGGCAAGGTGGGGCTGTGCCGGAGCCCCACTGGTAGCCGCCCCATATTGCCTGCTGCTTCCTTTCCAGTCCTGAGGAGGGGGTGCACCCACACTGGCAGGGAGTCTTTGGCTTCTAGGAAGGGGAGGTGTGCATGCGCAGGTGGCTGATGAGGTTGCGCTGCTGTGTGAACTTGCCCCCGCATAGCTGGCACTCATAGGGCTTCTCGCCCGAGTGCACGCGCATGTGCTCCGTAAGGCGGTACTGGCGCGTGAAGCGCATGCCGCACTCATCGCAGGCGAAGGGCTTCAGGCCCAGGTGGCTGCGCATGTGGCGGGTCATGGTGCCGCGCTGCGTGAACATCTTGCCGCAGATATTGCAGGGGAAGGGTCGCGTCAGCCAGTGCGTCTTTTCGTGCTGGCGCAGCGTGGCTGGGTCTTTGTAGGTCTTGTCACACGCTGAGCACTTGAAGGGGCGTGCCTCGGTAGCGTAGGCAGCACTGGGTGCAGACAGGTCCTCTGCCTCCTCCTCGCCACCTCCGCTGCCTGTCTCGTAGGACCCCTCCTCCTTGAGAAACAATTCCTCCTCCTTGTGCGTCAACACGTGCTCATTGAGCTGCTCAGAGCTGGGGAAGCCCTTGGCACAAGGGATGCACACGTACAAGTTGTCACCGTAGGAGACGGTCTCATAGCCCTCGGGCCGGTACAGGTAGTGCGTGCCTGAGGGACCACTGCCCGCCTCGCTGCCGCTCTGCCCGCTGTCCTCACTGGCATCTTTGCCGTTCTCCTCCTCCTTGCAGGGGTATGGGGGTTCCCCAAAGGGTCCGCCTCCACTGCCCAGGATGCCATTGGGAACCCTGTCCCCTAGATCCTCTGACTTGTCTCCCGGGCAGGCACCCTTAGACCCTGCTTCCTTGCGCTCGAAAGGGATGCAGGGCTCCTTCTTTCCCCACTCCTTCTTTCGGGTGGAGTGGCGCAAGCTCTTCCGGGGCTGCCCCCCAGCCCCCTCCAGCCGGCTCAAGGGAGCTTCCTCAGCACCCTCCAGGCCCATGGGCTCCTCAGGGGCACCCCCTAGCTCACTGTAAGAGGCACTGTTGGCGTTGGCAGGTGCAGGGACCGCAGGAGGTGAGCTATGCTGGCTGTCACTCAGCTGAGTGGGGTCTTCAGGTGCGAGTTGGGGACCAGGTGTGGAGGGGGGCAGCGGAGGGCTCTTCTTGGACAGATCGAGGCCCAGTTCCTGCTCACAGCCACTACCATTGGTGCTGCTGCTACAGCCACCTAGACCAGTGTCCCCACCAGCTGGACATAGGGCCCGGCCCAGAGTGGGAATACCTTCCTGGCTGGTGCTGCCAATAAAGAGCTCATCATCTGAGCCTTTGGCCTGGGCTGGGTGGCTGCCCTTGTGGCCATCCCCCAATCCTGGGTAGCAGGCCTGGATGACCGAGGCTGTGGAAAGGCGCTGGCTGCGGGGGGACCGCCCCAGGGCAGTAGCCCCGGCCCGAGCTGAGCCGAAGGGCTTGCCAGCCCGCTTGAGCCGGCGGCGGCAAAGGGCCGCAAGCTCGGGCAACTGCAGGTAGCTGGCCGCGGTGAGCAAGGTGCTGAAGTTCGGCTCAGTGGGCTGGTCGCTGGGCAGCAGCTTGCCCGTGTAGATGAAGTCCAGGATCTGCTGAAACACTGTGGAGCTGACCATGTCTGTGTCCAGGTTGATGAGGTTGTCGTGCAGCACCAGTGACTTGAAGTAGATGCTGCTGGCCGCCAGCACATTCTTGTGGGCCCGGAAGATGGAGTTCTCCACCATGATGATGACGTCACACAGGAAGCCCTTGGTCCTCTGCTGGTTCAGCTGCAGCAGGAGCTGTTTCGAGTGGCTGGGCAACTCCATGTCGGGCCCCATGTCCCCTCGCCCTCCCCACGCGTACCACCTGTGGGCAGAAAACATGCAGGCATTGGTTAGTCTGCATGGTGGGAAGGCTGCCCCTAGTCACTGCCTACTGGAAGAAACCACTGTGTGCTAGGTACACAACCCGACACCAGCACGAGTCCTATCTGCATTTAGGGAGATGGGAACCAAGAAGCCACATCTGGTAATGAGCTGGCATCCCTACCAGAATGCCCATGCCCAACCATGGGAGCCAGAAGGGGGTTCCGGTCAGCAGTGCTGAGGTGAAGGACCTGGTCAGGCCCGAGCTTTTAGGAGAAGTGAAAAAACAGCTGGTCATATGAAATCTCCCTTTCATAAAGCTTCATTTTCCCCCCTTTATAAAACCACTGTGTAGGAGCAAACCAAGCAGTTCTGAAGCCAGACTTCCTGTGGGTGATGTGCTCTGCATCTGAGTGCTATCAGGTCCCCACTCCCAAGGTGGGCCACAGCCGCAGGAGGCCTCCAGTTGCAGAGTAAAGGCTGGCCTGACCACAGTACTACCACCTGAGGACCAGGTCCTTTCAGGGAAAGGAAGGTGGTCACTGCCAACAGGCTGACAAAACACTAACTGGGGTCATAAAGTAATGAACAGAGAGCACTTTGTTTCCCACAGGTAACCCCAATGCAGGGTGACTATGGAGGGCCCTCCTAGCCACGCCTTCCACTCCTGCTGAACAACTCCACAGCCTGGGTGGCATTTCACCAGGACTGACACCCATATACAAATAGTGGCAGAGCGCAGTTCAGCCAGTGCCTAGGCCAGATGGGGGAAGGAGGGACATGTACCTCCAGGGACCTCTCAGCCTTTCTTATAGGGGAGGGGATGGGACAGGGCTGTACTCTTGCACCCAGAGCCACAGAAGAGGAGGGTGCTGGGCCAAGACCAGGAGGGATCCTAGTACCCACACAGCTGCCACAGGCAAGAAGTTAGTACAGAAGACATTTTCCAGTGGGGGATTCTGAGTAGCAAGGCCAGCCCTGCACAAGCAGAAACCTGGGATAACCAGGGCCCACGATGGAAGATTCTCTGTCAGACCCTCTCACCAGGTTGGTGAGTTCATACTTGGAGGTTACAGGGCCCCTTAGCTGCCCTGGGCCAGGTAGCACAGCCACCTCCTCACTGCAGACAGAAACGGGCACAAAGGGGCAGCACCCAGGCCTACCGGAGTGCCAGGGGCCCAGAAACCATGTGCGCAGCAGCCAGCGGGGGGCGCCTCCTGAAGCGCTCGGCCTCCCTGGGGGTGCATCAATGCCTGGTCACCTAGGGAAGAGAACAGGCATACGGTCACCCGGACAGATACCACGCAGACCTCATTCCAGGGACCCAAGGTGACAGCAGCGGCACAGTCTGAGCTAGGGAGAATCACACTGAAGGGGGCTGGCTGGATGCTTCACTCACCTTCTTCTTCCTATGAGACGCTGGGTACCCGGAGGATACCTAGGGCTGGGGAGCTGGGAGCAAGCACAGTGAGAAGAGGCCTGGGCAGGACCCTCCCAGCTAGCCATGCTTACATAATAAAACCTTGTAGGGTTATTAATAAGAACCAATCATTACTTCTCTGTACTCCTCCCGCAACCCCACCTCCTGGGGTCCACACTGCTGTGGGCTTGCCGTTATAGCAGCTACCACTAGGAGAGGGCCCTCATGTCTCTAAGGCTCAGGATACCCTCAGGCAGGCCTGGCCCAGCTCTGCTGTCCTCCCCATCCATCACCCCCAGGGCCAGTTCTATCTTCTGGACTTTCAGGAATGGCCTGGGAGGTCCAGCTGAGGACCCACTAACAAGTAGGGAGGCTTGGGGCAGTTCTCTGGGGCCAGCACCCAAGCACTTACATCTGTGAGGCTGAGTCCAACAGGGCTGGCTGCTCAGACCCCAGGTGAGGCTACAGCAGTTGAAGGACAGAGGGGACAAGAAGTGGAAGGAGAGTAGAGGCCACAGCTACTTGGACAGAACAGCCCGGGGGGCAGACAGGCTGTCCTGACACCTCTGGACTTGAGCCAGCCCACAGCAGCTCACCAGTCAGCATGTCCTCAGGCCAAGCCTCAGTCATCCACTCCTGGCCCAGGGATTGCCCCTCAGGCAACCAGCACAGTGGAATCCAGAGAGGGTGCATGCTGTAGGACAGTATAACTCATAGCAACCTTATGCCATCTTCACCATCTCTGACATAAGTGATCCCACTGCCACATTCACTGTGTCAATCCACCTTGTTGGGGGTCTTCCCCTCCTCCTTTGACCTTTCTAAGTATGATGTCCCTTTTCAGAGAATTACCCTTCCTAACAACATGCCCAAAGTATTCGGGGCGAAGCTTCACCATCCTTGCCTGCAAGTGGCACACTGGCTGTCAAACAGTGCAGCAGACAGGGACACAGCAGGGTCAGTGCCCTGACCTCTCTCTCTCTCAGAGAGGCCTGATGGGAATGCATAGCAAGCAGGCTGACTCCACTCCTGCTGAGCCACCCTGTCTGATGAGATCAGTCTCACCATAAACGAGCCCCCCAAGAAGCACTGCTCTCTCCTCTGCTGGCTGTGGGCACTCTGGGAACTTGCTCAGGAGGCTACATCCTGGCCCAATACCCAGTGACTAAGAAGCATGGCCAGGGGTTGGTTCAGGAATTTGGGGGCCCACTGTTCTACGGGGTACAAATGCTGGGGACCTGCCCTGGCACAAGCCACCTACAGCTGAAATAAGCCTGACACTGGCTCCTGGCAGCCTGCTCAGGCCATGTGCCTATCAGCACAGAGAATCACATGCCACCCAGACTGAACTCACTCTTGCTCCATGATGGTGCCTGGGACCTGGAGCAGTGGGACATCTACCCTAAGCTATTTTAGCCACCCATGGACACCTGAGTCAGGGCAGAAGTTTCAAGCAGATGCCACAGCCCATCAGCTGGACCCCCCAACTCCTAGCTTTCCTGGGGGTAGAAACTCCAGTGTGGCTACTGTGAGGGTCAGTTCCACCTTCTGAACTGGAGGGACAAGGAATGGGGAATGGTCTAGAGAACTTGCTCATCATCCTATCCTCTAACAGGCAATGCCACCGTGGGATAGGGCACATCACTGCACTGAAGCAGCCTGGCCAGGAGGAGGTGCATCCTCCCTCCCTCTTGGCCACAGAGCAGGGACATCCAGAAAGGTCTCAGAGAGCCTGGGTGGAGCCCCCCACGTCCAAGCCTTCCTCCACTCCTTTAAGCCCACCCTCCACCACCTTATTGAAGAAATTCATGTTTTCAGCAGGTTTTCAGAGGCAGTAAATCAAATGGGAGGAGACTGTTCATTGTTCTGCAGGGCAGTTGGTGGACTTGAACCTCATACCTTTGGGTTGTCAGTGCAACTCCTTAGTACTAAGCCATCAGAGCTCCCCAGGGAAAAGAAACATCCTCCTGGTACATATTGTTAAAACTAGATCATTTGAAGGGTAAAATTATAGACTGACTATAGCTCCATTTGTTCATTCCTGTGATACCTGAATTTATAAAGACCTTGAATTGCTTCTACAGCCCTAAAAACAACAGTATACATGTGCTCAAATCTCAACAAGCTAGGTGAAGAAAAACCTCACCAGAGAACATGCTGCAGGATTTGGACCAGAAAATTCTAGAAACTGCAATTCTAGAAACACTCATGGGAGGATTAGAGGGGACTAGAGTATGAGGATGCCCAATTATCTCAAGAAGAGTGAGGCCTCTGCTCAGAATTTATTAAGAGATGTGCAAAAGAGTCTTTGGAATATATCCTGAGAAAATGAGAACTGAGGCAGAGACTTGTTCACCAATGTTGAAAGCAGTGTTATTTACCATTGCAAGAACAGCCAAATGTCCAAACACAACTGAATGGATTGAGAAATTATGGTTCACTCACATAATGGAATACTATGCAGCACACAGAAGGCAATGATTTTGTAAATTACTGCCTAACTTGGGAGGGATTATAGAGCATTTTGCTAAGTGAACTCAGTCCCATAAGAACAAATGCAGTGTAAGACCATTATTGTAGAAATAGGTAACTAGAACACTTGATCATGCTTATGCAGAACAAGGGAACACTGCATCATTCAAAACTGGCAAGTATATACGCCAGGGGTGTGTCCTATTTCCAGACCTTTTCAATCTTTATGCAGAACAGATTATTTGGGAGGCTGGCCTGCATGAGGAGAAATGTGGCATTAGGATTGAAGGAGCTCTGCACTATGCAAATGACACAATCCTGTTGAAACTGAGGAGGATCTGAAGTGTTTGCTGTGGGAGGTCAAGGACTGCAGCTTTCAATATGGATTGAAACTCAATTATCAAGAAAATAAAGATTCTCACCTCTGGGCCGAATGGCAGCATTGTGATGGATGATGAAGAGACTGAGATAGTGAACAGCTTTAGTTTACTTGGCTCTTGGCACCAGCAGCTGGGAAATTAAAAGACATGTTGTGCTGGGGAAAGCCAGCTGTCAGAGACCTCTCCAAAGTACTGAAAAAAATGATATCTGTCTGGAGACTAAGGTGCGCCTAATACAGGCCATGGTCTTTGCAATCACTTGCTATGAATCAGAGAGCTGGACAAGCAGGGATGATAGAGAATTGATGCCTTTGAGCTGCGATATTGGAGAAGAGTACTGATCTCCTAAGAAAACAAACAGGTTAATCCTAGAGATGGTGAAACCACGATGCTCTTTGGAGGCAAGGATTCTGAAGCTTTATCTGACATACTTTGTACATGTTGTAAGGAGGGACCGGTCCTTGGAGAGGGTCGTCATGCTTGGGAGGGTAGAACAGTGCAAGAGAGGAAGACCCTTGAGGAAGTAGATTGATTCAGTGACTGAGGTAATCAGGGTGGGTATGTCAGGGACTGGATTGGCACAGGATAGAGCAGGGTTTAGGGTTGTTGTGCATAGGGTCGCTATGAGTCACAGGCAACTCAACGGCACATAAACAACAAAGAGTGTATGAGGATCTAACGGGTAGGATGGGAGCAGATGGATGAGGATGGATGGGGGGACCTTAATCATAGGGTCATACAATTTGAAAGGTGGAGGGAGGGATGCGTAAAGGAAATGAGAAAAATCTAGTGTGAAAAATATTCAGTATCTGAAATAAACCAGTATTAAAAAAAAGATGTGGTGGAGATTCTGGTGGTTCATTTTGTATGTAAATAATTTACATAGTTATGTAAACCTCTAAAGAAACAGTACAAGGAGCACAGGGCTGCTCTGTCTCAGCAATTGCTTTGGTTCCCTCCTTACCGCCCCCCACCCCCAGCTAACATTTACTCAGGAATGTTGTCCTGGGGGTGCAGACAGTTCAAGATCAAGGTACATATATGCTTCTACTCTTGACACACACAGGACCTGAGAGGCTTTTCTACTGTGAGCCAGCCCAGCCCCTCCAAGGAAACCCCAGCTGCCCAGCCATCTCAACCACTCAGCCAGCCTTCTGTATCAAGGTTGAGAAGTTGCAGCCCAGCACCCCTTGCCTGCACCCCAGGCAGAAGGCGAGTGACTGCAATGTTCACACTGGTCCAGCAATGACCCAGAGTTCAGGACCTGGAACCAGTGTGCCATCAGCAGCCATGTGGCCACAGCACTTCATGCCTCCAGCTTGTCCTAGAGGCATGCTTGGCCTCTAGTCCCCAGCCTGGAAGGTGCCCATTGAAGCAGGGTGTCCCTTTTGCTCCTGGTTCCTCCCTGGCTAGGATGTCCTCTGTGGTGTCCAGTGTGCAGACCAATATTTAGGGCCCATCCCTGTGCACCCAAGACACCAGTTACAGGCCTCGGGGATGCAGAGGACCAACAGAGTGGGCCCTGCAGAAGCCAGTGGCTGCCTCCCACCCTTGCCTGTGGTCATATAGTACCAATCAGATGAGACAAGACCCTCCTCCCTTCACCATCTCTGAGCAGAGGAATTTCTTCAACATGTAAAAGATGTCTAACAGGCACCATACTGCCTTCTTCATTATCAGCTGCCTGTCATGCAAAGGGACTGGCTATACCAGGTAGTGCAGTAGTGCAGGGCTGGAGCCAGGGGTGGGCACCTGGAGCCTGCTCTGGACTCTCCCTTGTTTTCAGGGAATGCCCTATATCCTCTCTGCCCTGTCCCTCCAGGCATGGACTGGCAGTGAGTTGGGACCTGTTCTCCAGGCAAACGCAGCCTGTAATCCAGCCGCAGACCTGGAAGCCAGCCAGCAGCTCCTGGCTCTGCTCCCGGCTCTCCTCCTGGAAAGCAGCAGCTCTTGGTGCCAGGTGCCTGGCTTCTGCCCATTTGGCTTTGATGAACAGCAACAGAGTCTGCTCAGCCTTCTTGGGGACCAGGGCCAGCT